GGGATTTTAAACAAACCATGTTATGATCACTGTTTCCTAGAGGTGGAAATTTGATAGGATCGTATAGGCTATCATTGCGGTTAGTTAGGCACCAGTCTCAGGTTACATTATCTCTAGTATGCACCTTAATTATTTGGAAAAGGCCAATTGATCTTTGGATATATTTTGCGTTGAAACCAGTAGTCCTATAATTGAAGTCTCCTGTGATTAAAACAAGGGCAGCAGGATGTGATTGCATGAAAGTATCAACATTGGTTTGGATATGAGAATAAAGGTTTACATTTTCGGTGTGGCCAGCTGATGTGGAGTGGTAGATTACAGCCAATAGTATAACTGAAGTCGAGCGGGGGAGCCATGTGGGTCTAACGAGGAGCCACAAGGACTCAACTGTAGGATCTTCAAAAGCAGCTAGGCGTTGACAATATATACTGTTGTTTATAAAAATGTATACTCCGCCTCCACAAGACAAAGAGCGATCATTTCTAATAATATTAAAATTTGGAAAAGATATTGCAGAATCGGGAATTGTGGAGGAAAGCCAAGTCTCAGTAATACACACAATGTCGATTTGGTTTATGGAAACAACGACACTTAATTCATCTATCTTAGAAGTAATTGAGCGCACATTGGAAATGAGAAGGCTGGGCAGGCAGCGCTTTCCATTGGGGGGGGGGGAGAGTTTGTATTAGTTTTAATGTTAATTAAATTGTTAAAATTTACCCTCCTCTGAGAGGCATGATTATCACATGTCCGTTGGATTGCGCCTAAACGAGGATTCCAAACTGGTCCAAGGTGCGGTTGACGAACTGTAGGTAGGCTTCCCAGGACTTCGTTTCTCCGAGCTGTAACTCTGACTTTGATTGGAAAGGTTTCACTTTGTAGTATGTCGGGTTGATTTGGCTTGCTCTTGTGTCTCTACTTTCTGCGGTTGTTCTTGGTTTCGGAATCCTTCGATAGCGACCGCTTCGAAAATCCTTTGAGGGAAAATTTGTTTGACGATATTGATATTTAGGCTTGGAAAACTGATTGCGCCGGTAACTAGGTTTCGAAAAAGTGTTGTGTTAGTTGGAGAACTATGCACTTGATTCCTCTTATGACGGTGCGTGCTGGCGTTTAGAGCGGTCTTTTCTTTTAGGAGATGGTCAAATGAGGTCAGGGAGTCATGGACGACTGGTTCATCAGCATGACTAACTGGTTTATTGGGATTGCTATATTTCATAAGAGAGTCATTAACAACTGGCCCTCGGGTATTATATTGTTTGTCATTGTCTATTGCAGATAGTAAATTATCCATACTAGTATTTACGTTAACTTCAGATTCTTCTAAATAAATTAGCACGACAGAGTCATTGTATGTGACGGTTGGTTGATTATTCATATTATCGAAAACGATGTTAATTGGCGATTTTGACAATTCCATGCCTTGCAGTGTTTCCTTGAGTAGTTTAATTTCTTCTTTCAATAGCTGATTTTCGCCTCGTAGCCGATCGCATTCACATGTATCCGGCGCCTCAGCAGTATTAACTTTTAGGAATAATAATGCCAAGTCCAATTTTATTTCTGCTACTTCTACAGATAATTTACTACAGTCTTTGCAATTCATTATATAATCGCCTTCGTTCTGCTTGTCTGAACACATTTCTTGCCCATTTTCTTGAATATATATATATATATTTATATATATATATATATATATATATATATATATATATATATATATATATATATATATATATATATATATATATATATATATATATATATTATCATGAAAGTTCGTTTTTGCCTTTATCCTTCTGTTGAACGCATCAGTGATCATTGAAAAATGTTTAACTGGTGAGCTCATTTCACTTTAATTAAAGAGACAAAAATCATTTGCCAGACAATGACACTGACTGCAATGCACTGAAATTGAGAGTTCGATGATTTAAATTTACACTTGAACCACAGGCGGCCCAATCTCGCAAGGGTCAGTATAGACTTATAGTATAAATGTATATTATATTAATGTATATAATAGTAAAAATATGTCGTAAAATATAAATTTTAAAATGAAATTGACTTGCCTATTTGATAGTGTGTGTTCTCCTTTTATTCCTCCTTTGTTGGACTAATATTTTCCGAGACTTTGTACTCGATGTTACTAGTATACATGAAACATGATAAAGGCCAACGATTCCCGATCGTCGATACGACGGCACGGCACTTCGAATCGAAAATTTTCACACTCAAATCGCTTTATTCTCCAAACAAATTCGCCAGCATGTACAACAGATGCCGTTCTTCGAAAATACGGAGGTACTTCGGCGAGATGTACAAGTTTTGGACCATATTTTAACAATGGAAATCAAAACCCATTTTATATTGAACTTGCCCAGGCCGAAAATTACTACGGCGAACGTCTGCGCAACCAGGTCTTCTTTACCGTTGGATTTACAGGGGGGGAAGCAGATATTTCCGGCAACAGCCAGCCAATCGCAACCGTGATAGCGACTGTTTACACTATTTGAAATTTGATATTCAAAATAAAAACTCCTTCGATCGGATACTGTATAAAACTCGAGATGTTGTCGAAGAAAAGAAAACTAAACGACGGAGATTGTAGGAATTTAAGGAAGAAGAAATATACAGCGGCTCTTTGTTGGAAAGCATGGTAGAATATGATACTTTAATTCGAAATATGATCGTTAATATATTAGTGGCATCTTCCTCCCCCCTGTAAATCTCAACGGTAAGGAGGCCTGGTTGCGCAGACGTTCGCCGTAGTAATTTTCGGCCTGGGCAAGTTCAATATAAAATGGGTTTTGATTTCCATTGTTAAAATATGGTCCAAAACTTGTACATCTCTCCGAAGTATCTCCGTATTTTCGAAGAACGGCATCTGTTGTACATGCTGGCGAATTTTTTTGAGAATAAAGCGATTTGAGTGTGAGAATTTTCGATTCGAAGTGCCGTGCCGTCGTATCGACGATCGGGAATCGTTAGCCTTTATCATGTTTCATGTATACTAGTAACATCGAGTACAAAGTCTCGGAAAATATTAGTCCAACAAAGGAGGAATAAAAGGAGAACACACACTATCAAATAGGCAAGTCAATTTCATTTTAAAATTTATATTTTACGACGTATTTTTACTATAATATACATTAATATAATATACATTTATACTATAATACTATAAGTCTATACTGACCCTTGCGAGATTGGGCCGCCTGTGATTGACGGAGCGTGATGTCTGTACTGTGAAATATCAGACCGAGGTTTTTTAGTCAACCAATCAGAATAGAGAATTTTGAAAAGCCATATAATAAAAAGAGTTATGTTCCACCTACTGTAAATACATCGGGTTATCTGCTAGAATCTCAACCTCGTCCCCAGGGCCATCCGCGCGAAAATCTATTAGATAGAAAAGAAATACATAGTAAATTTCATGTGGCAGTGAATTAAGGTTCACTCTCCACCATTTCCTTAATTATTGCATCAAAGCAACTGTAGGTAGGTGTACACTATCAACAAAATTGCAGAAAATCCGTTTGTCTCCGATCGCTAATCTACAGAGAAAAATTTGCAGGGAAACTCAAAGAGTTTCAGCTATAAGATGATAAGCATAATTTTACACTTAACAAATATAAAACATTTTCCGTGTTGGTATACAGTTATATCAACACGAGTGGAAATTGGGAAAACGAGAAATTGTGTGGAAACACGACGCCCGAAGGGCGGAGTGTTTTCACATAATTTCGAGTTTTCCCAATTTCCACGAGTGTTGATATAACTATATATCAATACGGAAAAAATGTTTTATATTTGTTTTATAATATAGCACAAAGAAATATAAAGAAAGAAATTTTCCGACGTTTTCGTGTTGACATTGAGTTATATCAACACGGCTCTTAGCCAATCAGCGTTCAGAATTTACAAATGCTATATTATAATATAAATTGTCAAACATATTACATATTGTATAGTAGTATTTTAGTTACAACTATTAAAACTGTTCACCTATCATTTCTTTTAGGAAAAGTATTTGTATGATACCAGACACTTTTGGCTTGGGTACCCGAATCATGTAAGTGATATTATTAACTTGTTAACATTGACCAAAAAATATTTTTCTATTAATATACTGTCGTAACGTTATGTATTTAACTTTTTTACAGGATCTTTCAGACGGAATTTATTATTATTACATCATTGAATTGTCATTTTATACTTCTTTACTACTCTCACAATTTGCGGATGTTAAAAGAAAGGTAGGTTTTAGCATGGATAATAAAATAAATGGATAGGAAACTAGCTGACGTGACCTAATGTTTTCAATGGGCTGATGGCGTGGTTGAATGTTCAAACCTAGTTGCAAACCAAATTCTCAAAAACGGCATGTTTAGCAATAATACAGCTAAACATTTTAGTCAAAGAGCAAATAAATATAACTACGCCATTCTACGATGAAATCTCTTAGTATTCCCGGTCAATTTTAGCAAATATTTCAAGCACTAAACAGTGATTTAGAAAAATGCATCGCAAATTTCGTTAAAATTGGCGACGCCAATTTCGTAGCTACAAATGTAAAAAATACAAAACAAAGACGAAAAACATTTACCTTGAATACTTTGTCGTGGCTTAGGCATGTTTTTAAAACAATTAGACCAGTTTATGCTTCAATATTACTCTTTTAAAGCGGAAAATATAGCGAAACAACGAAAATGCTGAGAAGTTTGGCAGTGCGCGTGACGTCACAGATTGCAACTAGGTTTAGACTGTGACGTCAGGAAGTTTCCTATCCAGTTATTTTACAATCCATTGTTTTAGGTCACTTCGCTTGATATTGAGCTTAAGCAAGCGACGTTTTTTTCAACACGAACGTCACCCGAAAATTGGTATAAGTAATTTTGGCTGCATTGTGCATCATAGCGCTCGTGTAAGGAAGCAAAAAACTTTGAAAATCTTATGTTTTGTCATATGTGTTGAAGATTACCACAAACTGACACAAACACAGTTTTTAATCCAGTCCCCTTGCGGCAATCTGACGCTGCCTCCTCCGCAGGCCCTCGTTGCGTCATGGGAAGGTCACGATCTGGCGAGGGCCTGCGGAATCTTGTAAAAAAAATGGCGCCGGCGTCACGTCAGCAAGTAAATTTCTACATAATATTGAATATAAACAGGATATAAAAAAGCGGTGTGAAACTTATAAATTAAACTGGCGACTCTTAGGACGTGGAAGGAAGCATTTTTTAACGATAAGGTTTGTTGTCCACACCAACGTTGCACGAATAAAACTGCCTTCTTTGACGAAGCAGGTTCAAAACAACATTTATTCATTTTACAAGATTCCGCAGGCCCTCTCGAAATCGTGACCTTCCCATGACACAACGAGGGCCTGCGGAGGAGGCAGAATCTGACGTCCGTGTTGAGAAAAACGTTGCTTATTTAAGCTCCCTGAACAAATAATATACCCAGCTAGGGTTCAGATTAGGTAGCAGCATTGGCCCTAAAGGTTTTTGATATTCGATAGAAATTTGAAATAATTTAGGTTTGGAGATTCATCATGTCATTCCGAATTTCGACAGTATTTCAGCCTTTCCTTCCGATTTAATTATTGTTTAGGAAAATAAACATTAAACTGAGAATATGTAAAAAATATTCTGACCAACACCGACCCGAAATTGGGAATAATAACCTAATTAATGGAACGGTTCTGTGGAAATCCAGGTGTAGAAACTACCCTCCAAACAGAGACGTGCCGAGCGACATCTGGTTGGGGGGTGAATTCTAAAATTTGGGCCCCCTTCCTTTCGGCCCCGCCCCCCCTCAAAAAAAATTCCGGAAAGCAAAAATGTTCCCACACATTTTGCGATAATGGGGGGTTAAAAATACTTTTTCAGACCTTTTTCGATCTCAATTTTTCAAAATATTCCTTAATATTTAACACGTTCCGCAATTCCAGCATTCCGGGGCTCCCTCTGGGGAAGTTGGCCCCCCCTTTCTTGACTTTTCTTTCCCCACCCCCCCCCCAGTAGTTCCGTCCCTGCCTCCAAATCGTCACTGTTCCTGCCAATCTATTGATCATGTAGAAATTTTAATATGACTCTACGCTGATGTTGCATAGAAGATGTGTAATTTCCGATTCCCATCTCGTCCAAACAATAAGAATTGTGCAGGTTACTTACATACGTGTGCTCTGTTTACCATTATTTCAGGATTTTTGGATCCAAACTATTCATCACGTTGTCACAATATCTCTCCTAGTCTTTTCTTATACATGTAATTTTGTGCGAGTTGGTGCTGTTATATTATTGGTTCATGATGTCTCGGATGTTATACTGGAGGTAAAAACTGTTATTTATGAAAACATCGTTTATGTGAGGTTGAAAATTACTGCGAAATTCGTTGTCTACACACATAAAAACGCTCAGATCTGCAAACATTAGTTGTAATGGGGTTATTGTCAAGCCGATGTGTTCGCACTGTTTCTTCCCAGTTGTTTTGACAAGTCGGGAACTTGTCAAGTTGCGATCACCTTGTAACAAGGTAGACGACGATAGCAGACTTGCTACAAGTTCTTCCAACAGGGCTAATTATTTATCGATCCTTTTCATTATTGCATATTTATCCTACTGCATGTTATTGAAAACAAAGTCAAAAGAATGTCTTGGACGTTTAATTATGCGATTAAGGACGCTTTAATTGAGTGTATTGAAAAATGTACTTAGAGATCTAAGCACTTTCGTTCACTTCTCATGGGAGGGACACAGTAATGTGCATATAATTATAGGGGACACCATATCGCGACTAGTTTCTGGTGGGACACAATTTGCGGTGGAGACAATTTTAACCTTCAATTTATTTATTTGAACATTATTTGAATCCCATAATACCAGTGGCGCAGCCAGCCCGACAATTTGGTCATGCTATGCAAATATATTTGTGTTCATAAACCGTGAAAACAATCAATTTCTAAAGAATTGAATAATGATAATGATTTGAAATTTGCATAGCATGACCAAATTGTCGGGCTGGCTACGCCACAGCATAATACCATGCATATTGAACAAAATATGCCCTATTTTCATGGTAGTCGAACCATTTTTTCTTTTCTAGGGTGGTAAAGTATCTAAATATCTCTGTTCTGTTGTGAACATTCAAAAACTTTGTGATGTAATATTTGGAGTGTTTGCTGTTGTGTTTTTCATTAGTAGACTTGTTATTTTTCCTTGGTGGTAAGTAATTTTAACCACGTAGCTGGAACACGATTGGCTGTTGGTTTTACAGGTCGTGTTACATGTCGTGTTACATGTCGTGTTACAGGTCGTGTTACATGTCGTGTTACATGTCGTGTTACAGGTCGTGTTACATGTCGTGTTACATGTCGTGTTACATGTCGTGTTACATGTCGTGTTACATGTCGTGTTACATGTCGTGTTACATGTCGTGTTACATGTCGTGTTACATGTCGTGTTACATGTCGTGTTACATGTCGTGTTACATGTCGTGTTACATGTCGTGTTACATGTCGTGTTACATGTCGTGTTACATGTCGTGTTACAGGTCGTGTTACATGTCGTGTTACATGTCGTGTTACATGTCGTGTTACAGGTCGTGTTACATGTCGTGTTACATGTCGTGTTACATGTCGTGTTACATGTCGTGTTACATGTCGTGTTACATGTCGTGTTACATGTCGTGTTACATGTCGTGTTACATGTCGTGTTACATGTCGTGTTACATGTCGTGTTACATGTCGTGTTACATGTCGTGTTACATGTCGTGTTACATGTCGTGTTACATGTCGTGTTACATGTCGTGTTACATGTCGTGTTACATGTCGTGTTACATGTCGTGTTACAGGTCGTGTTACATGTCGTGTTACATGTCGTGTTACATGTCGTGTTACATGTCGTGTTACAGGTCGTGTTACATGTCGTGTTACATGTCGTGTTACATGTCGTGTTACATGTCGTGTTACATGTCGTGTTACATGTCGTGTTACATGTCGTGTTACATGTCGTGTTACAGGTCGTGTTACAGGTCGTGTTACAGGTCGTGTTACATGTGGTGTTACATGTGGTGTTACAGGTCGTGTTACATGTCGTGTTACAGGTCGTATTACATGTCGTGTTACATGTCGTGTTACATGTCATGTTACATGTCGTGTTACATGTCGTGTTACAGGTCGTGTTACATGTCGTATTACATGTCGTGTTACATATCGTGTTACATGTCGTGTTACATGTCGTGTTAGATGTCGTGTTACAGGTCGTGTTACAGGTCGTGTTACAGGTCGTGTTGCATGTCGTGTTACATGTCGTGTTACATGTCGTGTTACATGTCGTGTTACATGTCGTGTTACATGTCGTGTTACATGTCGTGTTACATGTCGTGTTACAGGTCGTGTTACAGGTCGTGTTACATGTCGTGTTACATGTCGTGTTACATGTCATGATTATGTTACATGTCGTGTTACATGTCGTGTTACATGGCTAGAACTTGCAACGTAATTTCTGACACAGCCAATGGGTTGAAAGCAGTGACAGAAAACGGTCGTTCAAGTTCCACTCGTATTTTTAGTTTTCTTGCCTGTTAGTCTGTTAGGATATACTGTACAACGTGACCCCTGTACTTTTCACATAAGATGGCTTTGTGTTAGAAATTGCGTTGCAAGTTGCAAAACTGAAAGGTTGCCTCCTACGCTGTTGAAGTATTTATGCGGAACAATCCAATATCGAAATAAAAATACCAATGATATCTTGCCAAAAGATTGAAGATTGAGATTTCTATATGAATGCACTCATTCGAGTATTTTCTTAAATTTAGGATCATCAGATCTGTGCATTTTGAAGCTCCAATAAGTTTTGAAGGAACGATGCCGATGTATTATTGTTTTGTGGTGTTGTTACTTGCATTGCAGGTTTGTGGTCGGGAGTAAAGTACTTAGAGCTAAAAATCCACTTCATAGACGGATGTTCAGATATTGCTGCGGGGGGAGCGTGCCGAATAATATAGGGTGGAGGTGAGCGACGGGGTGCGTAGCGCTGCCGAACAAGCTCCAGCGGGGTAAGTGGTGAAGCCCCCAGGAAATTTGGGATTTTTAGGTCTGAGAAATTTAGGATTTCCGTTTTAATCCAATGAGCATTTAAATTTCTGGAGGGGGAAGGGATGCAAAATGACCTAGAATTAGACCACACCTTTACACTGATCAGTTTTTGGGTTGAAGTATTTCCAAATATATTCTTGATTAACCTTGTATGAATCGATTTTAATTCCCTGTCAATTCGTTTAGGCAATGCATATATTTTGGTTTTATCTTATTGCTCGAATGGCATATTCATTCCTGGTCAAAGGCAAGGTAAGATGTGAAATGAGTGCAACCTCGTTCCCAGGCCTTTTTTGAAAATGCGGCGAAATGAACGGTACCACTTTGAATTTACCACTGGTTTCCACATTTAGACTTGGAGAGTAAAATGTTTTTACTACAGTACAAAGATATTGAGGTTACATTTGGGTTTCGTATCATGCGTACTTTTTGCTTCTGTACGTATGTCAAAAGCAAGACCGAACAACCAGTTGTTCAAGTTGTTATAGGGTATTCTGTTATCATGGTATTCGAGCTCAGGGGCACAATGGTTGGGAGGTTGTGTGGGGGGGGGGACCCCCTCAAAGTTTAAAAATGGTATGACACTCGGGCAAATTTTACCTAGTGTTGGGCTGTATGTCAGGCAAAGTTGGTGATGCCATCTGAGGTAAAGACAGAAAAGTTCATGAATTTCATAGCAGATTGATTGGTGACCACGAAGAACCCACACCCCCTAATGTACAGTTATTAAGTTGCGCCCCTAGGGTTCGAGCCAAAAGGTTTTTAGGACTGAAATATGCAAGCAGGAAAAGCTGAAATATGGTGTTGGCAACATAATATTTCGCCTAATATTTCCCCTAATATTTCGCCAAGTATCCTTGATAGTAATAAGTTAGAGCATTGGTCCGAGTGTAACTTTGTACTTAGTATCACATCTTCATTATCGTGCTGTAGTTGTTTACGTGTTTGCTGTAACCTAATGTTTTTGAATTGAGACCGCAGTACCTGGCTTTCTATGTTGCGGAGTCCCATGATGACGCCATTTCAGTGATGTAATATCTTTAAGCCAATCGTAGCTCTTTCAGATGCATCACGAACCATTGGCGTGCTTTGTTTAGTGTGAATCATGTCAAATGGCGTGTAAATCTATTTACGTCGCGCTCCAAAGCCCCAAAACGTGTTGGTACCCTTAGTACCAATCTCGTACCCAGAGCCATCGTTGAGTGGCTCTGGCCACACGAGTTGAGTTAATTAGAAAATACGGTAAAAGTACAGTATTTTCCAATTAACTATTTCGTACCCATTCTCCGGGAATTCGCGCGCGTCATAGTATTTTCAAGAGGAGTGGAGAGCTAACTTTTTGCTGAAAATATCAATAAAATCGCAATTTTTCCCGTCAAAAGCATTAGAATATGTTCGGCGCAGTTTGTGTTAACAACAAGGATACTGAGTGCACGTGTGATTTCCGTTTTACAAGTAATTTGAGATGATTGAAACACCGGCTTGTACACATGTCAACACTCGTCGAGTCATCGATCAAATATTTTGTCTCAAATGGCTTCTATTTCCTTCAAAATGTTCCGATTTCTTCTTAAGGTATAAGTACGTTTAATTATTTGTTATATAAATGTAATTTAATAACTCTCAGCTTTATTAAATAGGTTATTGTTGAGCAAGAACGTTGCTTGTTGCACACTGCCTTGGTTACCTTTAATTCTTTAATTTGTTACAATTTATATTGTTCATGGCATCATTATTTTGTTTCAAGGTTAATTTTTGAATCTTGGGCTCTGAATTTCCATCCTAATATACCACAAAAGATATTGTGTACCCCCTAAGAATGCAGCAGATTTTCAGAAATTCTATAGCATATCCTGTGAGCTGATCATACCCAGTATTTATTACTATTATACATGCATTATTATGAATGTATCATACCTAGGGAATTCAAAACCAAATATTGTTCTTCATACAATGAGAAAATAAAGATATTTTTCTCAATAAAGAAGGCCTGTACTGCTGTAGCAATTGAGCAAAAGCCTGTAGCAGTATACCAGTGTGTGTTTAATGGTTGAATATTTTATAACTTTAGTATTACATTTCTTTCAGATACACCTGGGACTGTACATATGATAATCTTTTTATTATGCCATTACCAGTACATCCAACAGCTTGGCATGTTGCATTATAATGAATAGTCTAATATAACGAAATACTTAAGAAAGGAATAGTATTGTTGGAGAAGTGGCATTGCTCATTAGTTATGTGATAAAAAGTAGTTAGGTTAAAGAATCAAGAATCACACCTGGCCTGATTAATAACAATGTCCTGCTTGAATAAGTGTAATATCATTTATACTTTCATGCTTGTATTGCTTGATATAGGTTGATAAGTAGAATGACACATTATTGAAATCAATAAAGGTTTTTCAGAACTTGCAATTTATTTTATGGTACCACTGGGAGGTTGTGCAGGGCCCAGAGTAAAACTTTTCCAGGGGAACCATATGACATCATTAAGTTTTGCCAGGGGTCCCTATGACATCATAATTATTAAGTGGGAGAAGAGGTGTTTTACAATATATTACACTTTACTGCATATTATCTGGCACTGACACAACTCTTTGTGCTTTGGATGCCCCTTTTGAACTGGGCTTTTGCCTGCATCCCTACTTTTGGAATTGGAAATTGGAAAGCCCTGGATGCTTTGGATGCCCCTTTTGAACTGGGCTTTTGCCTGCATCCCTACTTTTGGAATTGTTAAAGATGTATGAAGTTATATGATAGTTTACTAATAAACCTAAAATTTGGTTTTGGTAGTCATATTCTGAAAAAGTAAAGTTGTTTTTGTTGAGCATTGGACTTCAAATACAATTGTTAATTGTTGGACACTCAGTCCATAGTACTACCTGAAAAAAACAAGCAGAAATTTGATGTTTCGAGCGAAGGCCCTTCACCAAGAGTTAGTAGCCAATGTCGAGTTTCTGCTTGTTTTTTTTTTCAGGTAGTATTACTATATAACCACACAGCACAGCAAGACTGTGGAATAGTTGACAATCATTTATTTACCAGTTTTAGTGGAACCATTGTATAAATTGTGTAGACGGTTTCATATTATTACACACTGTATGTAGTACATACTGCTATTGTTAAAGACCATGTAAAGTCTGTTCTGTGCATGCATTCTGCAGGCCTACATTCCAATGCTCAGGTCCATTGGAATGTAAGCCTGCAGAATGTTATTAATATTTTGCACCTTCCAAACTTTCTTGAATTGAATCTCTGGTCTGTATTCATTTACAAGCATAGCAAACCAGAAGAGTTAAAAATTCAGTATAATATTTATATCTAATATTCTACAACAAAAGCACTGGGTTCAGAATGTAAATAAAGGGTTTGTTTACATTACATACTTTACATGGCCTGGCTTTAATGAAACCTTTTTTGGCTACTAACACCAATGTTTCTGACAGAGTTGCGCAGACAATACTGTAAACAGAAACAATATATCATCAAACAATTCTGTCAAACAAGTTGCAAATTAAAGAACAAATGCTGTTTCAGCTGTTTAATTGTTACATTCACACCATGATGATTCATACATTTACAGTTCAATTAAAAAATCCCAAATCTTGTATAAACACAGTCCTAGCATACGTGTACGCTTGTAAGTCTTGTACGCTTGAATTTATTTTCAATAATAACAATCCAATATAGTGGATCAAGGACATATGCCATCATTCCCATCAATATTCACTCAGAGTGAACCAAGAGTATGAATTATTACCATAACGAAGGCTGTTATTTTTCCCAAATGAGTTCAAGTATGCATAAATCAACTCCTTAATCCCTCCACCACTTTTTCGGACGAAAAGCAACAAAAAATTCGTCGAAATAAGCAAATTTTCAGGCAAAATATTAGCAAATATATCGTATTCACTCATATTAGCCGCGCATGTGAACGCCACAGGGGGTATGGGTCCAATAGCTTATGGATCGACCAATCAGGATCGTTTTTCAATCCCGTGTGGCCAGAGCCACTCAACGATGGCTCTGGGTACGAGATTGATTCTTGGCCAGTAATTACAGCCGCGTCATCAGCAAACTGGAACCAATGGATGGGATTTAGTAATTTGAAGGAAAACCCAAATTGACGGTACTGCTTTGCAGCCTTGATATGCTGAATGAATGTATTGAAGCACATGTTAAAAAGAAGAGGACTGAGGATTATAATAATAATAATAATAATAATAATAATAATAATAATAATAATAATAATAATAATAATAATAATAATAATAATAATAATAATAATAATAATAATAATAATAATAATAATGGAAACTTTATTTATTGATTATTAAGATTACAAAGATAAACCTCACTTTACAGGTAGTTCATCAATGTCTACTTGAATTGATACTAGGCCCTATATATTTATTATACCATAATTATTTTAAGGCGGATTATATTGACATTAGTTTTGGGTTATCCCACACCTTGTTTCGTTTACAAAATATATAATATGATGTTTGTATGCACATGTTCACGATTTTCTTTTTTATGTATTTACAAAATTTGGCATCACATTTAAGGCTTCTTAGCATGCCATCAAAATTTTCAGATGATCGACTGAAAACTCCAAGTGTACTCAATGATAAATTGACGAACTTGACTTTATCATAATCTGCTTCCTGCTCTTTAATTAGATGAAGGTACTTTTGACGCTTACGATTGGCATTAACTTGCAGATTGGATTCATAACCGACTGTAAGCTCGAAGATGTATAGACATCTGTTTTCAGTCACCAGCAGAAGGTCAGGTGTGGTCGTAAACGATCTCCCGTGATAACAGATGGATTCATAAAGCCAGGAATGTCCGCGTAAAGTGTGGAATTTTGCACAGCAGTAAGAGTGGATGCGAGGAAATTTGAAACAGAATCATGTCGCCATGTGAACCGACCTTCGTCCAAATATGTCTTGCATCCAGCAATGACATGAAGCAGCGTTTCAGGTGAGGAGCAGAAAGAGCAATCGGATGTCGATGATAGTCTCCATTTTGATAGGTTCTTTCGTGTTGGAAGTGTGTTATTGATATACCGGATGGTGAAGTTAAAAATGTTTTTTGGAAGTTTGCTCTGAACGGATGACCATAAAGAGTTGAATGTGGATGTGGAATTATTCATGATACTGGAAAAGAAAGAACCTTGCGAAATGAGGTGGTTTTGAAGTCTTTCTTCACTTTCTTTTCTAACTGCCTTAAGTACGTCTTTTGTGTTCTTGTAATTGTCATACTGTATGTTCTTGTTGGTGCTCGTAACCGCCCATAGATTGTTAATATCTACGTTTGGTAAGTATGTTAGAGCTGATCGAGAAACAGTTTGACATTGGATAAATTTTGTCGAAGGGAGAATAATATTCAGACCAAATTTACTTTGTGGAAGCAACACGTTGCTAAGGGTTGCAGAGACAGGAAGTTCCAGCCATTTTCGAATATATTTTGACGAAATACCGTCTAACGTTTCACAGATCCAGGTCTTAGATATCAGAAACAGTAAAGTCCCAGGATATCTTTGACAGCAAGTAACGACTGTATAGAAGAATTTTATTTTTCGGGTGTAAGGGTAGTTCATTAATTTTATTCATGATGTCATTAAACACATCGAGTAATTCTGATTTGTGTTCCTCATCAGACATATTGAAATCAAAATAGCGATCCAAGTAACGGAAAGATTTGCCCATTTCGGTTCTGGGTACAAGATGGTTATTAACGAAAAGCTTGGGTAAATACTGGATAGATTTAGTTAACTGTTTTTTAATGCCAAATGTTGAACATTTGTCAACGCGTATAATCATATTAGCCCATTGACACCAGATTGTAACTTACTTAACTTCCCCCCCCCCCTGGCAAAATTTTGGGGGGCCCTGATAAAATGTATTGTATAAAAAAGGGAATCCTTGATTGTATAGCTTCATGCTGTCAATGATGCAAAAATTCTGTAGAATATATGCTCTGCTGGGCATCGGTGTGAAACCTAAA